TCTAGGACAACTTATTAAAAACTGGAATGTGTCACCAGAGGAATCAATGTCGGATCACCGAATCATTAGATTTGAATTTGCCCCGGGCCTCGCTTTTATGGGGGCCCCGCGATATGATATAAGGATTGACAATCTCCCAAAATTGAAGGCCCCCGCAGTTTTTGCCTCGGGCCCCAGACTACTTCTGTGCGCCCCTGGGCAGTGGATTACCTCTGCGTGAAGATAGCCAATGCTTTTGAGGACAGTTGCCTTCTTGGCAGACGGAAAGTAGAAAAAGAAAGAAGAAAAGACAGGGGACAGTATTAGAAAAGCCTGACGCTCTACAACAAAGAGATCAGGAAGGCCAATCGGAAGAACTATAGAGACTTCTTTGAGGCAATTATCACAGCCCATGAAAGGGCAAGATTGCACAAGGCTATGGCCAAAGCTGCACCAGAAAGCAACCTAGCCCTAAAAATGTAATAACACCTACACTTCCGACGACAGGGATAAACTTTTTTTTTTTTTTTTTTTTTTTATTTACGGTATATAATTATCGAACCTTCTCTCAATGAGACTAACGACAAGTATTCAAATCTTAGCCTAATACATATAATTAATTAATTAAGATTAAGATTAGGTTTTTTTTTTTTTGGTAAAACGGCCCTAGCTGTTGTTGCTGGGTGGGGAGATCTCTTTGCCGGAGTTGTGTGTGGCTAGTGTTCCACGTTAAAGACCGCGCCAACCTGTTTGGATGAGCCTGTAGCTTGATCGTATACTTTGCTTTTTCTTTGTCGATTTCCTCTTTAACAGATCCCACGTTTAAATCCTTGTGAATATTTTCATTTCGTATGTACCACGGAGCACCCGTTATTGTTCTTAGTATTTTTGATTGGGCTCTCTGGATCACTTCTAGGTTACTAACGCATGCGTTCCCCCATAGCTCGGAGCCATACTTCCAAATTGGTTTGAAGTACCTTGTACTCCAATTTAAGCGGAAAGCGAGCATTTATTAGCCAGTGTAGGCTTCTTGCTTTTAATTTTAGTTGTGTTCTCTTGGCTTCGATGTGCCTTCTCCAGGTAAGCCGTCTATCAAGGTGGACTCCAAGATACGTTACTTCCGTTGCTTTTGGAATATGGATGTTGTTCAGAGATGGTGGGGGGCAAGTTTGTTTATTAAGGGTAAAAGTAACGTTTTTGCACTTTTGCTCGTTAACCTTTATGCGCCAATCTGCTAGCCATTTCTCCAAAAGCCCGAGATGAACTGATAGATTTTGCGTTGCTGTCATGGGGCACTTAGATCGACTTAGAATGGCAGTATCATCAGCAAATGTTGAAGTTATTGTAAGGCCGGTTGTCGGAAGGTCTGCTGTGTAGATTATATACAGCGTTGGTCCAAGCACGCTTCCTTGAGGTACTCCAGCTAGATATGACTCCAGTATTTTGTGGGTGTTCTGTGGTAGCAAATTTTGAATTTTATAAATCAAGCCGCGGTCGAAGGCCTGGGCGACATCCAGAAAGACTGCGGAACAGTACTCTCGACTTTCAAATGTATTTCGTATCTCTGCGGTTATTCGATTTACTTGTTCAATGGTTCCGTGTTTCTCGCGGGACTGCAGGTGTTCTTTTATACGATTCAGCAGAAGCTTTTCAAATATCTTTGACAGGCACGGCAGAAGACTGATTGGCCTATATGATCAAGGCTGGGACTTGTCCTTTCCAGCTTTATGGATCATAATGATAACGGACTTTTTCCATTGTTGTGGATAATAGGGCCATTTCATCATGCTGTTGAATATGGTGGTGAGAAGATTTACTGCACAGCTCGGCAATTCCATAATCATTTTCGGGGAGATTAGATCGTGTCCTGGCGCTTTCTTTTTTTCCTGAGCCTCGATCACTTTTGTCACTTCTCTTGATTCGAATGCGATAGGCAGGGTAGCCTCTGGAGTGATGATTGTTGGGAGCACAAAGCTGTTTGTTGATGGAAGCGGTTTGAAGACGTTTTCCAGATGCGCAGCAAATACATTCGCCCTCTCTTCGTTGCTGCGAGCCCAATCTCCTGTTTGTGTGTGTAATGGCGATTCGCTTTCGATTGGTGGACATATACCCGATTTAGCTTTCCACAGTGGATGTCGTCTGCTGTTAGGGGAGAGATTCTGCAAATAGAAAAATTGAGATCGATTACTTTCATCTTCTAGGGCTGTGCGTAGAAGAAAGTTGGCTGTTTTGAGCCGCTCCTTTGAGGCAGGCGATCTGTGGGCTTGCCACTTGCTTCTAAGCCTTCTCTTATTGCGTAGCAGTTTGTTGATATGCCCAGAAGCTCGACTTTTGCTAAAATTAGAATTAAAATTACAAGCCGATATAGTAGGTGTGGAGTGTTGAGCAGCTAGTAACAGACACTAGTGCTTCAACTGAGCTATCAATCTCTTCTTTTTGGTACATGTTTGGGAAGCCATCAATATGTGTACTTACATACATTCTGTATTTAAGCCAATCTGTTTTACTGGAAGTTAGGAGATGTGTTTGTTTAGAAAGCTGTGGATGGTCGTAGAGAAGAATTAAAATGGGCGAGTGATCCGATGAAAGACCTGATAAGTGTTCCACATGAACATGTCCTCTAGGCACTCTTCTTGTGACGGCAAAACCCATCAGGTCAAGCTTCTTGTTAGGATCTGTTGGCCAATATGTAGGCTTACCTGGAGAGATAAGGTCTAGCTTGTTTCTAGGTGTTATTATGGCGTTGTACAGCTGTCTTCCTTTCGGATTGGTGAGTCGAGAGCCCCAATGGGGGTGTTTCGCATTGTAATCACCAGCCGATATAAAACGGTCACCTAGTAGGTTAAAGAACTGTACAAATTTATCTTCGGAAATGGAGAAGCGTGGTGGGCAGTATACAGCGGATAGGTTTAAGAAACCGCTTTGGGTATTGATGTGTATTGATGTAGCTTGTAAAAAGGTTGTTGCGAATGATGGAAACCTTGCCATCAGGATGGTTTGTTTTATAAAATGAGTAGCCATTTAGGTAAAAGTAGTTTTTGTTAGTTAGGTGAGTCTCTGATATAAGCATGGCGTCAATGTGTAGTAGTTTCTGGAGTCTGGTTCAATATTTGTTGCCGCACTGTATCAGCAGTGGTTTGCTGAACTGTCACCTTAGATACTGTGGCGTTCGCCCCGTTGTATAACTAGCGTTGGGATAAACTAGCTTTACTCGTTGAACTACACTTCCCTGCGAGCTCACCCCTGGGGAAGATACGTTCACCTCAATGGAAGTAGTGTCCACTCCGAGACACCCCAGACCGAGCGCAGAAGACTGGGCAATTGCCAAGTCTCTAGCCGCTCCAGAGAGACTTAAATGGACAATTGGGAACCTCCATACATTTAAGTCACCAGGTCTGGATGGTATCTCACCATCATTCCTGCAGCAGGGACTTACTCCTAACCCGCTTAAGGAAACTAATGTTGAGTAGCCTAGCAATCGGACACATCCCAAGTGCGTGGCGTAGAGCTAGGGTGGTCGTCATCGCCAAAGTATCAAACCTATCAGTTAAACTTCGTTTAGTCTTTAATCATTGGAAAAGCTGGTAGACTACCATATTAGGAGAACAGTTCTCAAAGACTGTCCGCTGCATTCCACGCAGCACGCATAAAGGGCAGGTCATTCAACAGACACAGCACTGTACCAACTTAGTCACACTCTGGAAGGGGCCGTAGACAAGAAAGAAGTAGCAATCTGCGCCTTTCTAGATATGGAGGGAGCCTTTCACAATGCGTCGCACGATGCCGTCTTAGCGGCCCTCGCTAGAATGAGTATTGATGCGACAACAAGAAGGTGGATTGAAGCTTTGCTAAGCTCCAGACAGGCAATGGCGACTATTGGCAATAGCACAATGACCGTCGCAACAAGCAGACGATGTCCGCAAAGTGGAGTTTTATCTCCTCTACTGTGGAGCCTACTAGTAGATGGACTACTAAGGAAACTCCCCGATAGAAGACTACAATGCCAGGGCTATACCAATAACATAGTAATAGTAGCCAGAGGAAAATTTGAAGATACGCTTTACGATATTGTCCAACTCGGACTCAAGATAACGCTTGATTGGTGCAGGGAAGTTGGGCTTTACCTCAACCTCTCAAATACTTTCATTGTTTCTTTTACTAAGAAGTATAAGTTACAGAAAATGAGACAAATGATGCTACTAGGTACTCCCGTAGCAATAAGCTGGGAACTTAAGTACCTCGGCGTTACCTTCGACAGGAAATTAACTCTTCACCTGTGTCGGAAAATTGCAGGGAAATCATGGGGGACTTCACCCGAAATCATCAGATGGCTATACCTTATGACTGTGAGGCCTCACATAAGGTTTAGTGGCTTGGCTCATTACCGCACAGAAACAGCTACAAAAGCTGCAAAGATTGGCGTGCGTATGTACGACACTAGCAATGGGAACCTATCCCACTGCGGAACTCACTCCGCTCCACTGCGTAGTAGAGTTGCAGCGGAAAGCCACCCTGTTAAGCATCACTTCTTCCAGCTTCTATGGGAGAGATCGGAAAAAAAAATGTATATATGATGAGAAAAAAATTATAGTATCGATGTTTTTTATACCAAAAGTTTTTCAGAAGATCGAGTTTTTGAACTACCCTTAAATTAAGGAAGTACACTCCATGGCTAGTCACACCATAGCGTGGTATACGGACGGTTCCCTAACACACCAAGGCACTGGCCTTGGAGTAATAGGACCACGAATCAAGTACCATGAATCTTTGGGTCAATACACCAGCATATTCCAAGCTGAGGTATGTGCCATAAAACGGTGTGCAGAGCTCAATATGGAGCGCGGGTACACAAAAAGGACATTGCGATCCTCTCTGACAGTCGAGCGGCAATTACTGCACTCTGCAGTAATGGAATTACCCAGGGCCGTAGCTAGAGCCTCGGGGATCCTGGGGCAAGAAGTAAATTTGGGGCCCCCTATACGGAAGTCTTTTGTCAAATTTTAAAGTACGCTTAGGGTTGTCTATGTGTGGAACGTTTGAATTTCCCGCGCGTATATTGGTCGCGAATACTGTTCGATACCTCGATTGACACGAATCAGCTGCTCAATTGAGGTGCTATTGACAAATAATAGTATCAGACAATTGTATATTTATTCTGCGTACAATTATATAATTGTTGAAGTGGCGGGGCGTCCTTCTTGAAGGCAGCAAAAACTCCTGGTCTGTGACGGCTGGGGGTGTTAGCTGTGGGGGCAAGAAATAACACACGACGATCGCGACAAGTAAAAAAGACTAGAACTTCGATTATGGCGCGGACCGGCCGGGCGTTTATTTCATGCGTTGACGTATTGGAACTAATTTAAGCTAAGCTAAGCTAGGCGCTTGGAGGCGCAGCGGAGACTTCTCGCGCTCGGGGAGTGGAGAGCCTGGACGGCCGAGCGCGACATGCTCCAAGCTTCGGGAGAGGGAGAGTGCGGTGTGGGGAGAAGCTCCGGGAGAGGGAGAGCGGGAGAGGCCTGAACATCCCGCCCCCCTTGCAACCGCTGGCGTTGCAACATAATTAGCCCTGGTTGCAGGCGCCTGACAGGATCCAGCCGAAGATGGTCTTCTGGGCCACCGGCAATCCCTCGGCGACCAGGTGGAATCCTGGTTGGATGACCTTGGCGTAGACATCCGCACCCAGGACCATGGAAATCGACGCCGGCAGATAGAACCGCTTGTCGGCCAGCGGAAGGTCCTTGTAGCGGCCGACGACAGACTCGTCGATCGCTCGGATGGGGGTGCGGACGCCGACGCCGGGTTCGATCTTTAGGACGACATCCAACGCAGCTCCCTCGACGACCTTCGATCGGAGGATCGCCGTGCACACCCTCTCTTTTCCGACATTGGTGGTCGGCAGACGAAGGCTGGACGCCAGGGTGGCGTCGATGCAGCTTTGAGGCGAGCAGGGGTCTATGAGAGCCACGGTGTCCACGATCTTCGGACCCGCCTCCAGGGTGACCAAAACCGTTGGAAGGACGTTGACGACGTGGTGTTGAAGGAGGGTTGCCAACGTCGGAGCAGCGCGCGCTGCGCGAGTCGAGGGCTCTGGTGTCGAGGAGGCTGAGCGCGGTGGAGAAGCAAGCGCTCTGCGAGTTGGCGGATCTTGCCGGCGCGAACGCTGCTGAGAAGCGGAGCCCCTTTTGGAAGGCTTGGAAGGCTCGGTGATGTGGAGCAGCGTGTGATGCTCCTCATCGCACGTTCTGCACCGGTCACCGCTACGGCAGTCCCCTTGCGAATGCTCGTGGGCAAGGCAATTTGCGCAGTACTTATTAACCAGAACTGCCCGTAGCCGCTTCTCCGCGCTCAGCTTGAGGAACCTCTGGCACCTCTTTAGAGGGTGGATCCCCCGGCAGACTCGGCACCGGTAGGACTGCGTGCCTCGAGTCCGCCTGCTCTCCAACACTTGAGCGTTCTGCTTACGCGGAGCCATTGTCTACGGATGTCGGCGTTGGATCATGAAAAGAAAAAAAACACAGGAAGATGTTTTATAATGGAAAGATTCGGGCCTTACGGACTACGGACAACGAAGTATGGATTACTGGGTAGAAGTTTGGGGAGCCTCTCCGGGAAGGAGAACAATTTTGGCTACTGGACGCCGGACAATGCCGCGCGCCGTCCGGATGTCGACTACGCGGACATTGCCATCGGCTCCAGGAAAGACGGAGTCGATTCTACCGAGTCGCCACTCATTTGAGGGCAGATTGTCGTCTTTGATGACGACCATGTCCCCGACACGCATATTCTCGGTGGGACACTTCCACTTGTTGCGCTTGTGGAGATCTTTCAGGTATTCATCCTTCCATCGAGCGCGGAATTGCTGATGGAGCGCTTTCAAGTGCTTCATTTTCTGTTGGCTGTCCCTTTTTAAACGCTGCTCGTTTCCTAAGAATTGAGCCAACGCGAAGGATCTGGAGTGTCCCAGGGCGGACTTTGCGTTCTCTGGATCACGGAATGGAAGGTGTCCGACATATTTTTCACTAAAGTCTCTCGTGGTTGTCCGGAGGAAATTTTCCTCACAAGCCAAATCGGAATCTTCTGCCATTTTTATTGGCAGATCCTCCACCTCCCAAAACTTGGTGAGAGGTTGATCCAGGTTTGAATCAAATATATGGGGGATTCGAGTGGAGAAAGCAGAAATTTGCTCTTGCCTAGCAGCTGGTATTGGTCCGGTAAGGATCCAACCGAATATAGTCTCTTGACCAAGAAGAGAGCCACAGATGTTTGCTCGGGTGCCGCTTAGGAGTATAGAAGGCAGCAGATCAGCCCCGATTAACACGTCTATTTGTGCACTCTCATAGAATTTCGGGTCTGCCAAAGAAAATTCGGGAAGTTCCCGTAGGAAATGCTGCGGAATTGAGCAGGACGGAAGTTGACCAGCTAATTGCGGAAGGACATACGCCGTCGCGTCTAGTTGCAGGCCAGGCCTGGTCGGAGATCGAATTGAAAATTGGCAGAGTTTTTGGACTCTGCTGCCAGTGTTTGGCTTAAGCCGGAGACTTGGGCTCGAATGATCTGATGAGGCAACTTAATCAAGTTGAACAGCCGCTCGGTCATGAATGTTGCCTCCGATCCAGAGTCGATCAAGGCACGAGCCTTGAAGGTTGATCCCAAATGGCAAACGTCAATAATGGCGGTGCCCAGCAAGACGGATCTATGACCCGTGGCAAGATAATTTTGCACCGTGGAGGTTGCGGCACTGGTAGTCGCTGGAGCGGTCGTAGTTGGTCTTGACCTGGGCGAAGAAGTTGGAGTTGGAGTCGAGAGCGTTGGAGACGCGTTACCTCGATGGAGAAGCGTGTGATGGCGGCCGCGGCATGTGAAGCAACTATGAGTGCTGTCACAGTCCCGTAGCTGATGTCCTCGTGCGAAGCAGTTCAGACACAGCTTTTTGCCTTTGATATAGGCGGACCGCTCATCGACAGACATCCGGAGAAACCGTGCGCATGTCCGCACTGGATGGTTTTCTCTATTGCACAAGTCGCACCCTCTACCTCTGGGTACTACTCTAGCTTCATAGGGATGGATCCTACGTGCCGTGGAATTCGAGCCTGCTGCTCTGGGCTGAGGCTGACTAGAGCCTGACGGACGGACGTCATCTATGGCCTCTAGTGTCCTGTGACGCTCAGTGAGGAAATTATTTAACTCCTGCCAAGATGGAACATCGACCTTGTTGTGGAGCGACTGCTCCCAGAGGGAAAGTGTCAGCTTTGGAAGTTTGGCGGAGACCATATAAACTAATAGGCAATCCCAATTGTCGGTGCTAATATCGCTCGTTTCTAAAGCGGTAAGGCAACTCTGGATGGTGTCTTGAAGCTCTCGCAAAGCTGGCCCAGATTCCTGAGTGATGGACTGCACATTGAACAGTATTTTCAAATGACTGTTTACTAACAACCGTTTGTTTTCGAAACGCTTCGTTAGGTTATCCCAGGCTGAGCGAAAACCATCGTTAGTTAAAGGCGACTTTGCCACAATTGTGTGTGCTTCGCCACTCGTTTTGGAATTCAGGTGGAACAATTTCTCGACCGGTGTCAATCTTGGATTGTTAATATAGATCGCCGTGAAAAGGTCCCTAAACGTCGGCCAGCGAAGATAATCGCCGGTGAAGACCTCGGTATCACACGGAGGTAGCCGACAACCTGAAGGAACGTAGGTCTGGGACGGATCAGCTTGTGTTTGGGGGGTTCGTGGAGCTTGCGCAATAAGATCCTCTATATTCGCACCACACCTTTCGTAGACGCCGTAGCAATAATTATATTTCGCTCGGAGAATTGGCAAGCTGTCAGCTGCACTGTCTCCGGCTGAAATCAGGCGTACATTGCACTCATCGTACTCTTTTTTGATGCGCTCCCACAATGCTCGGACCTCTTCGCGTCGGATATTTAGCATGGACATGCTCGGGGGAGTCGGCGACGGAGTGTTGCATCTCGCTTCGAATTCACTGAGACGATCTGAAACCTCAATGAATTGATTCAGCGCAAGATCGGACGCAGCTAGAGCCATTTTTGTCTCGGAACGAGTGAGCCTTGCTTGGGGAGAGGGAGTCTTACTGGAAGGTTTAGGTGTGGGCGGCTTGACAACAATTTTCGGAGTTTTTGTTGGTGGAATGGGAGATTTTTTATTCCCACCTTCACTGGACATGCCAAAAAACGAACCCTCGGTTGGAAAACGAGTGTACTGGTCGTGAGAAACAAATTATAGACCTTTGTTGCTGGAATTGCACTCTTGAAAAAATTTGTATTTAGCTGACTTGTGGAATTTGTCTCGCTAGAGGGAGACGGTCTATGGAAGCGACGATAAATTAAAAAGGAATATATGCCCAGTGGAAACGGGGTATATTTAATATGCACAGGAGCGAAAAAAACCCAGAATAATTAAATAATATTTATTCTTAATGTTATTAAGAATATTATAATTAGTATATTTATAATTCGGATATGTGATTATTATTTTGTGTGGTATTTATTTACTTTATTTTAGAAAATAATACCAACTGTGGTAAAGACAAAAAAACCGAAACGGGTTGTTTATTCGAAGAATGGAAGTTAATTATTTATCCAAAAATAATTTATTTGCAAATATTTAATTTCTGAGTTATCAACAAACGGTGTGCCGTACGGAGTGACGTTCACACTTAAATTTTTTGGAACCAGACAAAGAAATAAATTTTATTTATTTTTAATTATTGTATGTTGCTGGACAAAAAAAACAAATCAAATAATAAAAAAATTAATTTCCAATTATTTTGGTATTTTTAATTTTAATTTGACTGGAATATTAATTATGTGTTGTTATTGGAGTTGGAATTTATTTATTGCAGCTCAGAAATAATTTATTTTGTCTTTGGAATAAATTTATATGTTTAAGACCTTGCACTGGATGTCGTGCAACGGCTCCCTAATGGGTATGGGTGTATATGTGTATATTGGTATGCTGGATTTGGATATAAGTGTATATATGTATATATGTGCGTTTGTGCAGTTCGCGCTCACGCCAAAAAATGTTAGAATTAAAACACACTGCAACCAACAAAGTTTTCCGAGTCGGTGGTGGATTGTAATTATTTATTTTATTCTACACGGAGGCCGACGGAAAACTTTTAATGTTGGTATATTTTCGCTGTAGGAAGTAGAAAATATGGATGGAGTATATGCAATATATTTGGAGATATATTCATGTATGTGCGTTTGTGCAATTCGCGCTCACGCAAAAATGTTGGAAATAAAAAACACACTGAAACCAACAAAGTTTTCCGAGACGGTGGTGGATTGTAATTATTTATTTTATACTTCACGGAGGCCGACGGAAAACTTTTAATGTTGGTATATTTTCGCTGTAGGAAGTAGAAAATATGTATGATGTATACGGAATATATTTGGAGAATATATGTATGTATTTTTTTTGGCGGAAAATTTATTTAAATTATTGCCGGCGGGTATGTATTGAGCTTTCGATTTTAATTAAGTGGACTGTATTGCAAGAAAAGGTGTGCAAAATATTTAGCGTAGGACTGCAGTGAAAAAAAACACTTTGAAAATGGGGGCCCTTTTTCGGCAGAACACTTGGAATTTTTTCACAGAAATTATTTCTTCACTGTTCACTTCGAATATTTTGCACACTTTACACTTGTCGTTAAATTTTGGATTTTTCACTTTTATTCAATTTCGGAATTTGCACTTTTATTAAAGTTTGCAATTTTAGCTCTTTATTAAAGTTTTGGAATTTTGCTCATTTGATGTATGTATACTTGTATGTACATACATATGTGTACGGTTTCACTTTGATGTACGGGCCAAAGAGGAATTGGAGGAATATGGCGGCACGATCAAAGAAAAACGGAAAAATGGAATAGATCTTAATAATTGCCGTTTTCGGATTAAATCGGACTTGGATTTTTAGAAAAAATCATGCAGAAAGTCAAACGAAACAGTGTTTTCGAGTGGCTGACTGCAGACCGGCAAATTAATATATGTAGATCTTCGTACTTATCTTGAGCAATTTCGGGCGCTGATCGAATCCGGCTCGAAGGACCAAAAAATGAAGTGGCGGGGCGTCCTTCTTGAAGGCAGCAAAAACTCCTGGTCTGTGACGGCTGGGGGTGTTAGCTGTGGGGGCAAGAAATAACACACGACGATCGCGACAAGTAAAAAAGACTAGAACTTCGATTATGGCGCGGACCGGCCGGGCGTTTATTTCATGCGTTGACGTATTGGAACTAATTTAAGCTAAGCTAAGCTAGGCGCTTGGAGGCGCAGCGGAGACTTCTCGCGCTCGGGGAGTGGAGAGCCTGGACGGCCGAGCGCGACATGCTCCAAGCTTCGGGAGAGGGAGAGTGCGGTGTGGGGAGAAGCTCCGGGAGAGGGAGAGCGGGAGAGGCCTGAACAATTGTTAACTTGCGCGATGAAACGTATATATCCCAGCGGAGCGAAAAAAAAGAGAGGCAAATCGAAAGAAAGATAATGAAGCAAAAAAAGATTTCCGGGAAATTCGTTAATTGGTTATCATCCACGCCTGCGAGTACATCAACTCGGAATCTATCTCCATTGGCCACAGAACCACAACCACTGCCAGAATCATCCCAAAATGAAAGAGATTGCGAGGTTCCTTCGTTCGATGCGAGTAGCGCGAGCGCTACAACAGGAACAGATTCACTTCCTCCTATCGGTGCAAAAACAAGGAACACTTTTCCCGACGTCATTACGAACCCAATCATCAAACACGCTATTATTTCGTCTGGCCCAAAACAACCTCCGGGTCCTTTCCCAAAAGATGAAAAACAGGACGGACGCCTTTTCTCGAAATATTTTTTACTTTTCCACCGCAAAGTCAGGACTTCAACTGAGAAGAAATTGGTTATGCTATTCGACTGAGCATGACCATGTGTGCTGTCAAAAGCTCTTCAAACAGAAACGACAGATTTGATGAAAGCAAACGATTTATTGGAAAATGCACACATTGAAGTTTCTTCTATGCGGCAATCATTCGAAGAATTTGTAAAGGAAGCATGCGATTTATGTTCAAAACTTGGCATCCCTTTACAGTTTTTAGAGAACAAAGTGCACAGAAAACGGAAAAAAACATTTTGATGAACTATGTGTAGACGAAAGACTTTCGAATCCTAAGGAAAACTTTGCAGTGACTGTTCCTTTGTTGGACATAATTTGTTTCCAATTGAAGTACCGATTTGAATGTATGAAATCTGTTCTGGTTGTCTACAAAATTGTTCAACTAAAATTCATAATCAATGGCAGACGAGGAAATTTCGTTAGAAGCCGAAAAATTCATGAAAAATTTTCGTGATCACATTTCTTCCACATTTCCATCGCAATTAATCTCGTTGCGTTCAACGTTCAGAAAAAAAATCGGTCTGATTGATAGTGTGAAACAACTTGCTGAAATGATCATAATTGAAAATAGTTCCTTAACGTCAAGTTACTCTGATGTATGCACTGCTTGTATCATGTTTCTGACACTTCCTGTCACAGTTGCAACGGCGGAAAGATCTTTTTCGAAATTGAAATTGATTAAAAATTATTTGAGAAGCTCTATGGAGCAAGAGCGATTGGCATTATTATCGATTGAAAATGAGCGAGTAAGAAAGATCGATTTCAGCCAAGCGATCGACGAATTTGCGGCTTGCAAAGCAAGAAAGCGGCGTTTTTAATGGTATTTACCAAATGAGATACTGAGATATGTTGAAATAAAGCGAAAACATGTTGTTTTGTACATTATTTTATAAAACTGTAAAAAATTTAGAATTTTTTTATTTTGTTAGATCCATTTAAAGCACATTCAGAAAGTCCGAAAGCCATGGTAAGGCTTTTTCAGAACTAAAAAAGTGGTCGATAAGAAGGGGCCCCGTCGGGACCTCTTCCCTTTGGTGCCCTGGGGCACCGCCCCACCTGCCCCATGCTAGCTACGGCCCTGGAATTACCTCTTAGCTGGTTCGAGAAGTAAGAACAAAGTTAAACCTTCTGGGCAGCAACAACAGGCTGTCAGGTTCAAGAAACTTATACCACTAGGGAAGAACTCACTTAGGGTAATTAGCGGTTTATTAACCAGACATTGCAGACTTAGATCAAAGTTTTGTTCAAGTTTTAATTTTTCCCCGTGCAGACGTGTTTCTTGATCGCTCCGCCAAGCGAGTCAATTAGCTCGATATTTAAGTGAAATAAAAACTGAAATAGTAGCGAAAAGACGCTGGCAGCAATGCCAAATCATATTGGCTCCATTTCCTTGTTTTCTAACAGATCAAAGTGAAGAAAACAACTAATTTCAAACAAAATACAATGCCTGCGGGCAAATCAATAATAAGTGCAACTAGTAAACCCACGAGTCAAAGTCGAATGCAACAACAACAAAAGCAAGACGAACGCCGACTGTCTTCTGCCCGGAATAATGCTTATGTAGCAATTGTTTCGGAGCCAGTAAGTAACGAACACGCAACAACAAAAGCAATGTCATTGACTACTTCCGAGAGAGCGCGCTCACTGTCACCTGCACTCCTAAGCTCAAGCAGCGCTGCTATGGCCCAGTCGGGGAGCTCCCAATGCCCATCTCCACTCTCACCACTCATTGCACTGACTACGTCAGCTCTTGCGCTGACCAGCACGGTGCCCTCTATTATAACTGTTGTTTCGACTACGACAACAACAACTTCAACGTCGGTGGCAAATTTGTGGCCGATATTATCATCGCAATTGAAATGTGTCTCTGCTGCCTCTCTCCCACAAACTACGCTTGTACAGACCGGGATCGATCGGTATGTACAAATAAAAAGAAAGCTTAGCCCACAAAAAACTAATGCAAACCTGCCGAAAGTATCGAAAACCTCAGGCAACAACAACAAGTTAACTTCTGAAAATAGATTTGCTATACTTGGTGACCTTGGAGAAGATGAGGGTCAACCGCCTCAACCCACTAAAGATGAAAAGCCACCCCCTATCTACATTAGGGAACACAATTGCTCGGAGCTTATTAATAATCTTAACCAAAAAAATCGGGCCAAATAACTTTTATATTACCAACCTAACAAGAGGTAATATATCAGAAACCAAACTCCAAATAAAAAATGAAAGCAACTATCGCACTGTGACGAATTTCCTCGACCATGTGCCGGTAAATTACTACACCTACCAGCTCAAAAGGCTGTGGTGATCTGCACTGCATAGATGCATGTCTGAGAAACGAAGAAGATCCTGAAACGAGGAAATGTAGTAACTGTGGTGGAAACCACACTGCCAACTATAGGGGCTGCCCTATCTATAAAGAACTCAAGACTCGTCTGACTCAGAGGCGCATGTTGCTTAACCAAACTACTTCACGCCATCAGTAACAACACCCGGAGTCTCCTTTGCCAGACCTCTTCGATACTCTGGAGCATCGCCAGTGCCAGTAAGTCCTTTCTCAGGCTGAAGTTGTGCATTCTCTCCAGCCCATACCAAATCGAAAAGATGACTCGCTGCCAGAGCAAAATACCCAGCGAACAACTCAACCCACTACTCAGCAAAACCAGCTTCCCCCCCACCAGCACATAGCGGACTTGAACACACACTAGCTACGCTTACAAAAATTATGCTATCGATACAAAGTACCCTGCAAGACCAAACGCGAAACCAAAATCTTCTTTTGGAGCTTTTGATTAAACAATCTAAATGAATCCCTTAAAAATATGCTTCTGGAACGCCAACGGCGTTTCCCAAACCATATACGAACTCTTTCAGTTCCTAAACAACCATGATATCGATATCATGCTTCTCTCGGAAACTCATCTAACCCATAAAAACTATTTTTATCTCACCGGATATGTATTTCACGCGATCAACCACCCAGATGGCAAGGCACATGGAGGCACCGGCATTCTTGTCAAACATACGCTACAGGCCACATCCATACGTATCAATATAACCAGCGGTCCACTCACACTATCAGCTGTGTATTGTCCCCCACGATTCAATATTCCAGAGAGTGAATTCTTGGGCTTCTACAACTCACTAGGTAACTGCTTTGTAGCTGCCGGGGACTATAATGCAAAACACCACTACTGGGGCTCTCGTCTTATTAACCCCAAATGACGACAACTATACAATGCTATTATCAAACCTAGTAATAAGCTAGATTTTGTTTCACTGGGTAGTCCGACATACTGGCCAGCAGATCCGAATAAAGAACCAGACATTTTCGATTTTGCCGTAACTAGGAGAGTGCCGCCCAGGCTGTTACGCGTTGGAGCACTGGCGGAACTTTCATCTGATCACTCGCCTGTTCTTCTCTGCCTATTTGAACACCCACAGCTTGTAAAGCGACCACAATTTCTGACTTCCAATACAACAAACTGACTAAAGTATAAACAAGAAAGGAAGCTAGCTTCGGCAAGCCGAAGCTTATATACCCTTGCAGCAGTGCTGCCAATTTGGATTTTTTCCCGTCAAAACTGGCTTTATAATATTATTATAAACACTTAAGTATAAAATATGAAAAAGTGGCAGCTTTACGATAGTCACTTACAAACAAACCAGAAAATGTGGTAGCGTATGTGGTTTTCTCGATATACGCATATGTCATCACTCGCATAGTGATTCCATCTCTATATAAAAAGTGCGCGTAAATTCTTAGTTCTGAAGTGCTGAAGTTCTAAAATGCCGAAAGAATATAAGCAAAAATGCCGCTATGTCTGGCTTAAAAATTAAGAGTTCAAGGCATGGATTTGCAGAGACGACACAGACCAGCAGAGGGTTTATTGCAACTACTGCAAGACCACTATTGCAGCTAAAATTGACCACTTGGGAAGCCAGTTTAAAAAACGGTTCAATGATAGGAATCAATATGTCATACGCAAATGAGGAAGACGAAGAAGATATTGATAAAATGATGGAAATCCTAACTCAATAAATTAATTTAACTTAATAAATCGTTATTTTTTGAATTTTTTTCGCCTTTTTGAGAAATTTTTTGTTTAGCTTTTTATTGGATTTTTGAACAATTTTTTTTAGTTTTTTTCTTTATTCTTTCCGTCAAAAACAGCTTTTTTTG